TTGAATGTTCAAAGAACTTTGTGCCTCTTTTATAACATTTACCTTATTTCCCCTTTAGTTCAATGATTGTTACACTTATCTTAAGCTTTTCCCTGTTACTACTTTGAAAAGCAATAATTACGTCTAACTCATCTTTACACATCTCCCCTCTCCTATCTGTACTTAACACAATGCACACTTACATATTTATTATATCACTAAATGTTTACTAATTGTAGTAGAATTCATCACTCACCACACTGGATGAGGAATGGGATGGTCATGGCTTGTCTTCTTTGATACCGAACCAAGTCTAAAGATTTCTCCACATCCTTACTATTTTGGCATCTAAATTCATTCCAAAATAATGATAGATTTCTATTACCTTACAAAAAAGAACACAAATAAAAATAATGACATAAAATTAGATCAATAAAATCAAGATGATTAACAAAATTTGAATATAAATACATGTGTAAAATGTATCTCAAATACAGAAATATGATTTTATCACTGAGTAGTGAGATTTTTGAAATTTATTTTCTGCTTTATATGTTTTTGTATTTTCCAAATTATATACAAGCATGGCTTGTCTTATTGTCTTCACCTTATGGCACTTCACAGACAGGCATTTTTTTTTTTACAAATTGAAAGTTTGTGGCAGTCCTTCAATGAGCAAGGCTAATTTTATTTTTAAGGTGCCAATTTTTCCTACAGCATGTGCTCATTTCATTCCTCTGTGTCATATTTTGGTAATCCTCACAGTATTTCAATTTTTTTTCATAATACTTTCATAGGAATTGTTTTCATATTTGTAAAAAGTATGAAGCACCAAGCCCTCCTTCCACAACCTTCTCTAGTCCTCAGCTGAGTTTGATAATTCATTTTAATGGCCACACAGAACTCAGATTCTGTACTTAAGAGTTATAGGGTTTAATAGGGAAGTTAACAGGTTACAATTTGGGGGCCAAAATGCTCAGGGCACAGTTATTCCAGTCAGCTGCTGATAAATGTCCACTGGACACACCATTTCATCCGAAACTTTAGCCGGAAGACATTCAACTCTAGATCTACCACTTAAGAGTCTGGGGGCACCCCATTCTACAAATAAACCTCCTGTCAAAACATCACTCAGTTTTACTTGCTGTCAGCTAGGAAGTTCACTGCTCTGTCTTGCGCACTGGTTCTTGGTTCTGTTACTGCTGCTCCTTTGCCACTCCTTTGGTGGCACAACTTTCTGTTCCTAGATCAAGAAGATTCAATGCACAGGAATCTTGGGGTCCAACAATCCCCTCCTGGCTCTTCTTCTTTGTTAGTAGTGAGATCCCCTCTCCTGCTTCTGAGATGGCTTATCTAAAACCCATGTTACAGTGGCAAGTTTTCACAATTACAATAAACACTGTTTACAACCACAGTATTTTCTCCACCTTCTCTTACTCAGACCCATCAGAAAAAAAGAGTCACTTTGTGGGCATTATAAAGACTAAGACTAAAAGAGACATTAAACAATTCACTACACCACACTATTGCACACTTTAAAGTATATATGTTTAATTATAGTTTCATGTTTATAGTGTAATGTAAACATAACTTAAATATGTACTAGGAAAAAAATTCATATCACTAGATTTTTTGTAATATTTACTCTATTATGCTGGTCTGGAAATAACCTGAAATATCTCCAATATAATAATTATGGGAAATATTTTTAGAATAATTAAAACATTATCAGTTACTTAATAAAAAATACACTTTGTATTGTTGCAATAAAACATGCTGACATTTAAAAAACACCCTCCCTAAACATTCCTATGAGGAACTGTACTGCTTAAATATAAAAGACATCATTAAAATTATTCATACATATGATTTTGCAAAAAAAAAAAAAAAAGTGTTTATTTTTACCTTTATTTTTAATGTCTGGTTTCCTTCTTCCAGTTCTTATTTTTTATGCCATACACAGCTCTAGAGTTTGTATTTCCTTTAAAGCCTATAAATAGCACTTATCATGGAGAGCCACTAGAAAGTGTATTTCTTACCCTTTGATCTAGCAAACTGGTAATTTTCCCTACAGATACATGGTCATGTACCAAGGGGCTTCAAAAAGTTTGTGGGAAATTCCA